ATCCATCCATCCATTATCTTTACCCGCTTATTCCATTTTGGGTCACGAGGGTCGCTGGTGCCCATGTCCAGCAGTCACTGTGCGAGGGGCGGGGTACACCCTGGACGGGTCGCAAGTCCATCACAGGGCCACATAGAAACAAACAACTATTCACTCTCTCACTCACACCTAGGGACAATTTAGAGTTACCAATCAGCCTAACATGCATGTTTTTGGTCTGTGGGAGGAAACCGGAGTACCCGAAGAAAACCCACGCATGCACGGAGAGAACATGCAAACTCCACCCAGAAAGGACCCTGGACCGGGGTTTGAACCAGGGACCTGCTCGCTGAGAGGCAGCAGCTCTACCAGTTGCGCCACCGTGCTGCCCATCAATCAATTTATTCACTCGATTCAAAAAAAAAATTATCATCAGTTTACGAACACATTCTCTGACAACGCTTATTTACACGAGTGAAGGGGGAGCAGGAAAAAGAAAATCTTGTACAGACCTGCACCCCTTTCTCAATAATTACAAAAATGTCATGGTCGTATACATTAAATTACAAAACAAGTTGCAAACAATATAACAACAACAATAACATGCATAACAATATATCACTTGTCCCATTAACAACTTAAAAGTGTGTAAGAGTTAATCATTCTTTTTTTATAAAGTGTTTTGAATTAGTTTATTGTAGAGCATTTTTTTAACTCCTCATCCAAACTGTTCCATAGTTTTACTCCATGCACCGAAATGCACATTTGTTTTAAAGTAGTACGCACAGTTTTACTTTTGAAATCATACTTCCTTCTGTTATTTCTATCACATGAACTTAAGAAAAATAACTTTTGTAAATTAAATGGCAATCATCTCTTTCTAGCTTTAAACATAACCAATAGCATTTTTAAATTAACCAGATCCCTTAGCTTCAAGATTTTTGACTGAATAAACAATTTATTTGTGTGTTCTCTAGTGTCCACTTTACATAAAATTCTCATAACTTTCTTTGTATGACAGACAACAGTTTAGTGTTGGTTTTATATGTGTTGCCCCATACCTCTATACAATAAGTCAGATATGGAACAACAAATGAATAATATAATGTCTGTAGTGTTGATAGATCTAAAACACGTTTTACTTTATTTAGAAGTTCAATA